GTTTGCCCCCGGGCCCGGCACGCACCGCCGCACCGGCTCCCAGCATCTTCGGGCCGGCACAGAGCCGTCCGGCTCTCCCTACGTGCGGAGGCCACGGGCAAGGCCAACTAGGAGAGGAGGGGTCCTCGTCTCACAAGGGATGAGCCCCGTAATGGACATTTCAGGAGGCACCAGGGGCACCCAGCCACCGTCCAGAGCGGAAAGGCTCGAGTGGCCCGTCCTTGGTTTTCAGAGCATCCTATGACCCCGGGTGCTGGCCTCCTCGGTCCCTTAACTAGGCAGGACTTCCGAGAGCGGGGCCTGGGAGGCGGGCAGCACCCACCGGTGCCAGGAGGGGAGACGCAGACGGGCGCCGTGGGGCAGGGCTGGGGACGTTCTGTGCCCACGCGGGGCATTTTCACGAGGCGTGGGGCAGGATCTGTGTGTCTGCCTGTCGCAGGACAGGCGGGCTGCGGCTCACGGTAAAGCAGGAACATGCGTCAGACTACAGAGGGCTGTGCCCCAGGGGAGGGGCACCGCTTTGCCAAGGAGACGGCCATTCCAGCGACAGTAAGTGGCAGTCACGATGCGGAAACAGGGGTCCCCCGGGCCCCCCCAGGACCCTTCTCTGCAGCTCCTGCCGCCTCTCTGTGCCTGGAATGGTCGCCTCTTGGCATGAGCGTCAGGGCACATGGCTCACATCCAACGTTTGCGTTTTCACGAGCTGGTCTGAGACTCGCCCGCACGTAGCTGTGACACGGAGGAGTCGGGCTTTTGATTGCTAACTGATCTGTGGGACTTGGCCTTTCCTTCTCCTCCCCGGCGTGGGGACTCGCAGGCAGTCTAATGCAGCCTGTCATCGCGGGTCGGCGTAGGGGCGTGGGGTGCAGTAAGTAACAACCATCTCCTCTCGCAGAGATCCCGCTCATGGAAGAGGACCCATAGCCTGGAAGGAGCTCCCAGGCCCAGTGCTCCGGCTGCCCCTTTGGGGACGGAACCCGGTCCCGTGGAGGGAGGCCACAGAAGGACAGAGCGTGGGGTGGGGGCGTGTTCTACTCTGTCTACGCGGGGACAGTGACTCACGTCGTATGTCACAGACTCAGCAGGGGGTGTCGGACACGGACCCATGACGGCGACAGACCTTTTACCTGGGGCCTGCGGGTTTGCCGAGACCACGGGGGAACTGAGGGATGAGGGGAGGCCTCCCCGCCCCCCGCCGTGTGTGCTGGGGAACAGGACACAGTCCACGCACCGGCCACCGGATTCCGCGTCCCACCGACGTACGTCACGAGTGCCACCTGCGTCCCCCGAAAGCATGTCACATTGTGTAACTCCGCTTCCACATTTGCTTCCAACCCTCCCTGGATTCCCCCGCGAGGCTGGATGGGCCTCTGAGGGGAAGCCTGGGTCGGGCTGCGGGAAGAGCAGCAGCATGCCGCCCCCTGGAGGCGCCCGATGGGAAGGTTCCCCGACAGCTCCCGGACAATCTTCCTGGATCTGGGGGTTTCTACTCAACAAGACGAAAGCCCGATGTGGCAGACCCACGAGAAAGGAGAGGAGGGGCGCGGGCAGGCTCTGCTTTCTGGAAGTTTCTTCGGAAAGGAGAGCCCGTGTCCTGCGTGCTGTCCTTGGGCGGAGTCGCGTGGGGGTGTGTGTTCACGGCCGGGCACCTGGGTCCGTGGCGTGGGATCAGTCCTGTGACTCTACTAACGGTCAGACTGTGTCCTGATACATCCCCTGGCAGCGAGGCTCTGTTGCGGCGTTTTAAAGAGATTCCGCTGGACCCTGTACCACGAGCCCTCAACTGTTCTGAGTGTGGCCCTCGGTCCCGAGCTCAGCCATACTTTATTTCCCCGAACAGGAATTGTTTCTGTCAACACATCCCTCCTCCCAATAAAGTATGAGGTTGGCTTTATTTATTTTCCCCTTTTATTTTGTCCTGCAAAGTCCGCGGGCAGGCCTCCCAGCCCAAAGACGGCTCTGCCCTCCCCTCTGGCTGCCTCGCCCACCTGCCCACCCTGCCCTCCAGCACCGAGGGCTCCCGGCCGGCGCCCACTGGCTGTGGTTCCTACGAAAATGACTGATACAAAAAGTTCTCCGAGCCGTGAGGTGTGTCTCTTCAAATACACGACGCTATGTGGAGTTGCTTCCTCTCCGCCTCCGGATTTTAGATAAATACCAACAAGACTCGGACCCCTAGCACTGCTGTGCTGACGGAGCCGTGGGAGCGGGGAGCCTGACCAATCCTGTTTTTTTCTGGACACAGACTGATTAAAAAATTAAAAAGGAAATGTCTGCATGAAGCGTGATGTTCCTAGTGGAGTGGAGTCGGGTGGGCAGGGAGGGACCGTGACCGTGGGTGATGGAGATGAAGCGTCGGACTAGAACCCGAGGCCTGGCCCAGTGCCCTGGGGGGTGAGCGTGCTGGGCAGGTGGGTAGCGTGTGTAGTAATCATATCTCTGTCCGCTGATGGCCTCACCTGCCACGGGCTCAACTTGGTACGACAAGCCCCATAGAAGGGATGGTTCTCACAAGTGTTTGTGCTTAAATGCCACTTGGCCCGCTCAGAGAGAGGGGGCTGGGTGGGAGGGGGGCATCCAGGGCGCACTTTGGGCCTCCTCCTCCAGGCAGCCTTCCAGGCATCCCTGTCGGGCCCGGTCTCCGCTCTTCTCCATGCTTACAGCTGCCCGCCCTCCCAGGCTCCCTAAATGGGGGGCATGTCTCAGGCCACAGGTAAGTGCCTCCTTTCCCCCCACACGAGGCAGGAGGAATGGGGTGAGGCTTGGGAGGCTGGCTCCAGGCCTGGCCTCACCTCCTTCCAGAAACCGTTCTGCACCCCAAAGTAGACACGCAGCCCCTCACCTGCGAGCCCAGTACATCACGGATGCCTGTCCAGCCCCGCACCTGAGGGACAGGTACCGCAGTGCCACACACACCCAGGTATGCGTGTCAATGTTGTTCTAAGCATGGAGGCTGGTAGGAAGGAAATGTCTGCCAGTGGCCCCGTCAGACAGTGTCTCCCCAGTCACCTGGGTCCTCCGCTGGGTCCCTTGAGTTTGTGGCCGCATCAGCATCTCAGCCTCACATGCTATTTACCGGGATGTGTTTCTGTTTCATCGTGGTCGGCCCAGGTGGCAGGAAAGAACCCTCCTGGTGCCCCAAGCAGGTCTGGACTCGGACTCACTTTTCATTTCAAAGTCCCAGAGGCCCTCTGGGCATGAACGGAATCGATCTTTCTCCAACAGCCTCAGGAGCCGGTAGGTATGAGATCACACGGGCCACACTGTGAACTGTGCCCAGAGGTGCGGTGTGGAGGGATCCGTCCCTGACCACCGGGCTCCCTGCTCTGGGAGGGAGGCACCCTGGGGACGGAGGTCAGAGGTCGGCGGAGGGCGGAGCCTGCAGGGAGAACCGGGGGTGTCTGTCCCTGGGCCCCCGGAGGTGTTCACAGAATCAGGTATTTAAGGAACCACAGGGCAGCCGTTTCTGGCTGCGTGCTCCCACCACAAGCACGGAAGTCACAGGGCATCTTCGCACGTGGCTTCCATGCTTGTTTTTTATTTATTTTTATTTGTTTATTATTCTTAATCCCCACCCGAGGATATTTTCCCATTGATTTTTATTTTTTAATTGATTTCAGACAGGAAGGGAGAGGGAGAAAGAAACATCAATGATGAGAGAGAATCATTGAT